ACTGCAATGTATGAGCTTCACAAAGGAGAAGAGAAAAAAAAAAAGGATTTCTGGACAATCCAGTCTGTATAAAATACCTAGGGCAATTCCTGATACCAAAAACTTGTTCACTGTAAGTTAAACTGAGTTTTCATGTGATTATTGAAAATGTCCTCTATGCCATCTTCACAAATACTCACTATCTCCAAACAAAGTAGGTTTGTCAACTTCAAGGTTGAAACAATGCCAAAAAAGAGAAAATTTCTCTGGGTGGGGGAAATTTATGGTTCCATCTGCGACTCATTTTTAATAAAGTATCTAAAAATATATGCTTTTGAAGTCTTGGGCCAGTTTCAAAATGTGAAAAATTTAAATTTATGAAAGCTATATTTTTGGTTGTTGTTTTTGTTTGAAAGACAATTGTGAACTAAGTGATAGAGAGTGTCATTAAAAGCCAAGTGAATTGTGAACTAAGTGATAGAGAGTGTCATTAAAAGCCAAGTGAACCATGGGAAGCAAGGCTTCTGTTGAGAAAATCATACTCCAGTACTAGGGTGCAGAAGTGCAGTTCTGTAAGCCGTTCAGCTGCAAATCCAACCTGTGTTCACTAAGCCCTGGGGTGGTGCACAGTCTGTACTGGCGTTGAAGGTACCAGTAAACACTGGTCAGGTTGCCACTGGAAAGACAAGACATACAGTCAGATGTCAACCCAATGACACTGTCCAAAGTCAATAAAAATCCCGTAATGAGGAATCACAGGGTAGAATGTGATGCATCCCAGAGGAGAGGAATAAGTAGTAAGTACTCTGCATTAAGGGCAAGAAAAAAACTCTGAGGTTTGCAGTCAGCTGGAAGACTTCATGGAAGAGGCAAGATCTTGGGCTAAAACTTGGTAGGAGTATAGTGTCAGGAGAACTATGAAAGTGGTGAGTTCCTGGGGCATAAGCAGGGGTTGGTGTCGTATAATGGGCGCAGGCAGGGATATGTTTGGCAGTCAGGAAATTCACTGGGGCATCCCTTAGTACTCCTGTGCTATGAGCTCGTAAAACATGGCAACTGGGGGCCCTGACTCCTCAGGGATGAGGGCAAGAAGTACCCATCAGAGCTCAAGGGGAATCTAAAAGAGTGATAGGGAAGGGAGAGAACGGGTACCACCTGAGGTCTGAGATCCAAAAGCAGCACAGGAGATTAACTTATTCCACTAACCTTCCTCTCATAAATTTCTCCCCAGAAACTGTGAACATCTAGAAAATGGAAGAATATGACAGAGGAGTGAACTTAATGTGCCCTGCGCAGAGCACTTTGGATTCCTTTTACCAGCAACTAACCTCTTCCTGTTTGCCATAGAGGATTGTGCCTGAGCACTGGGGGCTCACACCCCTTAGAGCAGCCTGTTGCTAATCCTGGGCGACTGTAGGACTGCAAGAGCCCTTCTCCATTGTCTTAAGACAAGAGCACCTCCAGAGTGTAACTTATACTCAGAACTCTCTGCAGGATTAGGCTGCAGATGAGGGGGCTGCATGGACCTCACACCCTTTCTTGGCTTCCTCCCACACCCTCCTCTGCTTCCTTTCCTTCCTTCCGGGTTTCTTGGGGGAGGGAGCACTTCCTCAACCCACCCCTTGTCCTGGACTCCTCAATGCAGGGTCTGCTTCTGAAAGGGTGGATGTAATCAGAGTTTCAAGGAGAGGATAAGCATGTTTCATTTGCTTGAGAGAACTAGTCTCACTTGGGTACAAAAGGATCGAATGAAAGTCTGAAGAAGAGTCTAGAAACCCAGCTGTTGCTACTGCATGGCACACTGCAGACATTTAATGAAGCTCAAGAAATTCATAATTCTTTTTTCACAGTGTATTGGCGGAGACAGCCTATTACAGGTGAAGTTGCCTTGGCTCAGCTGAAATGTGACCAAGTCTAAGTTCTATGAATGCATCTTGCAATTCAAAATGTGACTGTACGACGTGTAGGTTAGAGACACTGCCCGTGTTGCTCACCAGTGTCTCCTGAGGACTTGGTGGTTCAGGAAACTACATGCTACGAGAACTTGTGGTTTTCTAAGAGCTTCCTCTGGCAAGCTATCAAGATTGGCCAGGTGGTGGGTATTAGAGAGGGCACGGATTGCATGGAGCACTGGGTGTGGTACAAAAACAATGAATACTGTTATGCTGAAAATAAATAAAAAAATGTTAAAAAAAAAAAAAAAGATTGGCCTGTTAGGTGGGCTGTAAGTGCTAGGGAATTAATATCCTCAGAGCAGTTCTCATCTAATGGGATTTAGTGCTTGAAACAGCCCAGATTTCTCAGTTCTTAAGCCATCTCTGAGAAGTGTACTACACTGCCCCCTGGAGGTTGAAAGGCATCTCTCACAGGGGTTCTCTTGGCTCCGGCTACCTGTCTGTCCCCATTCTCCATCCCCATGCTGATATTTGCTAGGATCTATTCCAAGTCTCTTTGCAATAAATATTGTGGTCAGAATCTGCTTCTTTTTTTTTTTTTTAAGATTTCATTTATTTATTTGACAGACAGAGATCACAGGCAGGCAGAGAGAGAGGAGGAAGCAGGCTCCCTACCTAGCAGAGAGCCCGATGCGGGGCTCGATCCCAGGATTCTGGGATCATGACCCGAGCCGAAGGCAGAGGTTTCAACCCACTGAGACACCCAGGCGCCCCAGAATCTGCTTCTTGGGGAACCCACATGAAGACAGACAGTTCGGACCTCAGAATTTTCATATTGCCATGGATGTTCTCCGCCGAGATGCAGCTCCTTTAAAAGGCACTTTACCTGTGGTGCTGCTGGGCAGGTTCAGAGCACACTCCTCTGGAAAATGTTTCAGTCACTGTAACTCGTGTTTATGAACATGGTTAGTCAGGATAAAGATTTTTTTTTTTTTCCTTTGGCTCTGGTCTGAATAATCATGAGTGGTATTGGAAGCAGAATGTTTTAGCAGAAGAAAATCAAGGAAATTAAGGAAATTACGATCATTCCCGAAGTGGTGGGAAGCTCTTCACGTCACTGATTCAGCAAGTATTTATCAAGTCTTATTTATGCACAGGGCACTGTGTAGTGCCAAGATCGTTGTAATTGTAAATTTGATTTTGGAGAATGCATCCCAAAGTCATGAAAGCCAGGAAGATATTCAAGTTGGTTAACTAAAAAAGAATGAACAGATTTGCAAGCATGCAACTTGCTCAGATACTCTCTCTGGAATCAGGATCTAAGGAGGAATTCCTTCCTGTTTTTTTTGTTTTTGTTTTTGTTTTTTGTTTTTGTTTTGTTTTGTTTTTTTGTTTGTTGTTTTTGAGTGAAGAGACACAGAGAGACAATTGCCAAAGAAGGGCATATCCAGATCCGTAAGGTGGCTGGCTAGTGGGTGCTAACATTCATTAGGCTTTGTGAAATGCAACACAGTTCTTTAAAAATAAATCACTTTATTTCATATTCTATCTCATACAGTCTTTAGTTTTTCTAATCACTTCCCATAAGCTTGTTTTGTCTCCACAACACAATAGTGAGATGTGTCGTATCATCCCACTATATTGTATAACTATGAAGGTACATGGTAAGTTCACCCACTTATTAATGTCACAAGTGTTCGTTGCATGATTGTAGTGTGTCAGGCACTGCCTTCTGGGCACACTGCAGACATTTAATGAAGCTCAAGAAATACATAATTCTTTTGTTGTGGTGTATCAGCTGAGATGGCTGCTTACTACCACAACCCCCATCTCCCCTTGTTATGAAAAAACAATAGAGAACACATGGTCTCAACTTGCAGGGAGTTCTGGTTTATTTGCAGAAACAGGCAAAGAAAGAGGAATTTTCCAAATGGAACGGTAAGTGCTAAGAAAGGAGAGAGTATGGGGTGGAGGGATTCCAGTCCATTCAGATTTGGGAAGGCTGAGAAAACAAGTGGGGCCAGGGATGATCCCAGGGTACCTGTAATCTAAATCTCATATGCATGTGCTTTAAGGACTTAGCTAGAGAGCAGGCACTGGAGGCAGAGGGAAACACAAGAAAGTGTCTAGACATGGAACAGAGCATGGGGTGTTTGGGAACTACAAGTGTTCCGTAGAGCTGGGTGTAGAGTTTGCTAAGGGCTGGCAAAAGAGAGGAGGTGAGTCAGAACATGAAGGGCTTGAATGTTCTGCTATGCAAGAAGACCATTTTGGAAGGATAACAAAGAGAGACAGAAATTTTTTAACATATTAGTTAAAAAATCAGATTTTCATTTTAGTTTGCTTTGACTCTTCCATGGAAACTGAATTGTGGGTGAAAAGACTGGAAGGCAGGAGACCAATTAGGAGGTGGTACAGTGGCTTTGGAAGGATCAAGTGATAGAGTGATTAGGCTGGCATCAGTGGAGATGGAGAGATGTTGGTAGAAGTGTTAAGAGGGGAAGAGAGGCTATGTGTAAGGAGGGGTGTGTGGGGGGGCATGGAAAGTAAGTGCACTTCATGCACAAGGGAGCGCAAAGTTGAGGAAGGAGACACGACTTAGCCTTGCTTCAAGGGTGACTAGAAATTTCATTCCTTTTGTTATTTCTTCCGGTTGAAACTCTGTTATAAGACCTTTGATCACGTGTGACAAAACCCAGCAAACTCTCTCTTTTGGTCTGAATCTGCCAACAAGGGAAAACAGACCCTTCAGCTTCCTGTTCTTTATCTCATGGTTGATTAATAGAGATTAAAACTCCATGCTCTCAGAAGTTTGCCATGTTTGGGAAAAACATCCATTTCCTGTTTTGAAGCCTATAATTTATGTTTGCAGCTTGCAAAACCACAGTGTAAACCACCTCATTTAAAAGCATGTATAAAAGCTGAGGAGCTCCAAAGATATTTACAGTGGGGTTGATACTGCTTGCAATAGTCTCCATCATGTTAGTTTCCTAACTTGTCTGGTTTTTGTCTCAGATAGTTTGGTGCCATGACCCAGGATCTGAAGTTATCTTCAGATTCTCATTTACCCTAGCCAGGTCATAAGGCCATTTGGAGCCTTTTGTACTCCATCTCTGGCTGGAACCACAGAGATCTAAAGGTGAGTCCTGATCCTGGTCCTATATGTTCCAAACTCTTATCTGTTGGAAGCACAGTAAGAATTTGATTTTGATTCTTTCTGAGTACTTTAGTTGATTTCCAGTGGTGGGATTTTTGGTGTGGGTTTTTTTTTTTTTTTTAATGTTTAAACCATTTGGCTATTTCTATAAATGAATTAAATGATTTATTGATATTTTGTCTCTATTAAATGAAGGATGATGGAAAATTGAGTTTGCTACTCTTTCCTGTTTATCCATTTTTCTCCATTTTGAATTCAAATCCATTAAGAATTTATACCTATTAGTAAGGAAAGAACTCTTTATATGAAAGTGAGTTTTGTATTTCTGGGTTTACCCCGATGTAGTTTGGAATTGAAGGTCTAAGTTTACTAGATCTAGGTGTACGTTTATGTGTCTACAGGTATTTAATATTTTTCTACCACCAGATGGTATTACTAAATTAGATTACAAAATTTTTTAAAAAAGCCCTACTCTAATTGACAGAGCTAAGGTCTTATACAAATGAGTCTATTCCTAAAACTTGTCAAATATTGAAAAAATTAAATTTTGAATATTTCAATGTGCTCAAAACACTTTCTTATAGGCAAGTTACTCAAATGTTCTAAGAATTCAAGTTTACATAATTTAGGTAACTTTGGCAAATGAGACTAATCTAATATTGTTGGTTTAATAAGAACAGCTTTGTCTTTTGAGTTGTCAACATTAAATGTAATAAAATGTACATTTTTATTTTACTTGGGAATGTTTTTCCTCAACTTGTAAAGGTTCTGAATTGATATGCTATCATTTCAGTTACTATATTTTAAGATTAGAAAAAATGTAAACTTGTGTTTAGTCAAATTAAGTCAGTATTTGGACAAACTTTATTTCAAGAGTAATTATGTTTTGTAGAATGTCAGCTTGAAGACAGTTTCCAAAATCAATTGGTAACTTAAAATATTGGACTGATGCTAAATTGAGTTAATTCATAAATCATTATGTATCTATGTCATATCTAAGTAGGACAAGACACTGAAACATTAATTGCTAAATAACAATTTCATTCTTATATATTTTTGCCTCTTATTTTTATATAATACAGACGGGCTGTATATTTGGGTCTGTTAATGGACATGTTCATTTTTGCCACATTGAGATGCTATACTATGAGGGATGTTGACGGCTATAAAAAGATATATATATTGAAAAGCTCTGCTAGTCTGCTAGAAAATACTGGTATATGAAAGACAGTTTATAGTTATTTACTAACAGACACTCCTTCTTTGACTAGACTTTAGTCAGGCTCCCGTAAGTCTTCTTCTAGATCAGGCCTCAACCTCGGACTACTTAGCCCCATTTTAACAAAGAAGCCTAAGCTAGTTAAGTGACAACCACCTCCCTTTATATCTGATCGTCCTTGGTATATGATCAAGCTCTTGTACCTTGCCCTGGATATCTAAGTCCTTGGTCTGCTTTTAGTAAGAATCCTGTTAAGCCAGGTTAGCAAGAATCCCCCTACTTTGGTATCTAAGCAAATTCCTCTCAGTAATTTTCCCCGCATGCACGTCCTCACTCGGCTCCTTGGCTGCAGATCTCCTGTTGTCTGTGCTGTATGGAATGGGACTCAGGGCTGTTCTGAAGCCTCTCTTCTCTATGCAGTAACTCTAATAAGATCTGCCTCACCATTTTGACACATGCCCTGGGAATACCTCTTCTCTTACACCACCTCCTAGTCTTCTCGGTGCAATAAAAGCAGCTGTAGTGAAAACTTAGAATCAATATATGTGAATGAGGCTCTATTAGGAGCAAGAGCAGCAGAGAGGAAAAACTTCACACGCAAAGAGTGCAGGAGGTATTTTTTTAAGGAAAACAAGAGAAGCTTTGTTCCAAAGTAAAATGACTCATTCCAAAATGAAAGAGAGAGGGAGAAGTGTATGACAAAACTTGTCTGGAGAGACAAAGTTGCAGATGGTTCACGGAAAGGGAATTTTACTTCTTATAGTCAAAGCTGGCGGAGGTTTACGAGTTTATTTATAAGATTTTTAGTAAGAGTGTTAGTACCAAATATGCTGTTTCAAAACTAGCATTTGGTTTTCACTTTATTAAAATGACAATTTTTTCTTGGAATACTGGTGTTCTCTTAATAAGTGCTTGTAAAGTACTTTCCTCTACCTTGAGAATAATCTGCCTAGAAAATAACTATTCAGGGTCTTATTAGAATAATTTCTGTATTTGTTGATTTTGTCATATCCTTAATCATTTGAGGGAACAAAGCCTTTTCACTTAAAGAGAACTGAAAGTCTTTATAGTCACATACCTCTTATATCTACCTTAAAATTTATATTGTCATTTTAGTTAACTAGATAACCAACTATTTTTCTTAGTAGTCCACGATCTTATGTAATTAAGTGTTCAAACTTGACTGCTTTTCATATTTTACCTTCCAGAGCTCAAATCACAAGGAAGTTGTCAAGGGAAAAAAAAAAAAAGTTGAGTCTGGACCCAAGTAAGGAAAGACATTATTGAATGAAACTATTGCAGAGACCTGCTCAAAGCCCAAGCCAGAACAATTTCAGGCAAGGGAAGTGGGAGTGAAGCTTCTGTAAGCAGAGACCTTGGGATAACTGTCTGTGGAAAGCAAAAGCATGATGTCATGTTAACAGCTGGTGTGCGGGAGAGACTTAGAACTTAATGAACAGCATCAAATATTGTACAAACAGAAAAGTTGAGGCAGAAAATTTGGTTTGTGCTCAGGCACATGGGCTTGGGATTCTGTACATCAGATGAAGTAAACAAGCTAAAGTGTACCTAGGGTTGGGACCTAGTGGTCTTCAGCAAAGCAACCTAAATTTGTGTGAAGCACAAAGTTCCATCAGCCTTTCAGTCCCTCTCCTTGTTCAAGGTGGGTTCAGAGACATTCTCTGTGAACAATTCAGAGATAAGGAATAACTCCAACAGGAGATGGGTGAGTGAAACAGACCTCAGCGTCTACTGAAACTAGAGGCTATAGATGGTAAACTAGAAGGCTGTTTGGTATGTAGGCAAAGGTCAGTTGTTTCAGTGTCCTTCAATGGGATGCCTAAAATAAAGAAGATAAATGTTAATATAAAGGAATGTATTAAAATAAAGAGCCCAAGGTTGAACCCTAAGACTATCTAGTCCTATGAAATTCAGGAGATCAGTGGATGAAATAGTTTTTGCAGTACTGCTCTCTGAGTTGAATTGTGCTCCTGATTATGTTGCCCACGTCTAGGTTACCTCCCTTGTAAGGACATGCATGACATGAGCATTTTACCAGACTTTATTAGTGACTCAGACGGCTGTTTGTCCAGGGGCAAGTCTGGTCCCTGCAAGGACCGGTGCAGTGTTTCTTTAAATCCTGGTGGGGTGGGGTGGGGAGGGAAGACCAGTTACAAGGCAACTTGGCGTCCTATTAAGGATCTGGGTAATCATGTTTTCATTCTCAGTGACTTGAAGTCAGGAGCAAGGGAGAAAAGTTGGACAGGTTAGTTTGAAATATTTGTAGTCAGATATTGAAGGAAACGGGAAGAACTGAAAATTTGATAAAGGTTGACAATCTGTAGATTAACAGACACAAATTTGATTTATAAGTAGGTATCAATACTGGTTTATCCATACTGGGAAAGGAAGCTAATTAGTGTCTATCAGACAAGACAAAGTTTGCATATGGACCAGTTACCTGCAGTTTTCAGAGATGCAAAAGAGCTCAAAGGCAATGAATAGGGTCAGAATCTGATAATCCAGAAGAACATGCTTAGTTTCCCATTGAAACACAAAATGCTCTTACAGTCCCTCTTCCCCTTTTGAGCAAAGACAATCCCAAAGAAAGATTATTCTTGATCACAAAACAAGGCTGCTCTCATTAGACGTGGCCTGGTTGTTTGCATAGATGCAGCAAGAATGACAAGTCACCACATAAATCGTCTATTTGCTTTGCTGGACAGTTTCATAAAGATACCTCAGATTTGACTTTTCAAAGCCTCTTGAGGATAGGAAGCCAAGCCACAACCTCACCATCATTTTTCACCTGCGGTATCTAGTGGTTTGGTGGAAAGACCTCTCTTCCTGAGGTTCCCCAAATATCCCAACATTCCTGAGCCCACTAAGAAGTGACCTTCCTTGCTCACCTATGAGGCCGGGAACCCTATGAAGCCAGTTACTAGGCCAGTTTTCCCAAGAGGGACGACTTTGTAAGCATTGGCCCCATAAAGGCTACCTTAATTCCTGAAAAGTGTGTGGTCACATCTGATGAAATGAGCATCCTTCTCAACTACGACATTCTAGGCAACGCCAGCCTTGATTGTAGCGTGTCCCTTTTGTTCCTATTAACAAGGTGGACAGACTCTTACTGAATCTATGCAAATATCTAGAGTGTCACGAAAACAGGCATCCTCAATAAGAGTTCCCCAAATTTCACAGGGTGAGTCAGGGCAGAAAAGATCAATGTTTCATTTCTGCTTTACAAGAGCACAGTCTAATAAGTTGTTATGCGTGATAGATGGCTTGAGAGAAAAGAGCTTAATGCTCTGTTTTCTGGATGTTCCCTGATATCCAGAAAACAGAGCATTAAAGCATCACCACTGTTCCAAGCAAGGCCCACATCCAACCAGTTTATTCGCTTTATTAAGTTCTTTGTAATTAATTCTTGTTCCACATGATTTGGGGTTAGTAGTCTCAGGAACACATCTGCTTCATGACTAGACGTCTGGAACTCCTGACTCAGCTCACTGGTAGGATCTCATAGTTACTGAAGCAATCCCATCAGAATCCTGTGCCCAAGAGGACCTGGCATAGTCTTTTTACCAGGCTCTTAGACAGGGATCTGGTTTGAGAACATTTGTTGAAGATGGAACACTCTGCCTTAGAGCTGATTCCAGGTGACTTCATGGAAGCATCAGGGGTAAAATAACACATACAAGCTCTCTGTAGATGATGAAAGACCAAAAATGTCTATTGTTTACTCTCTGTTGATATTTTTCAA